GGCGGCAAGGGGCCGGTGGGGGGGGGGGGGCCGCCGGGGCTGCCGCGGCTGGCGGGGGGACGGGCACCTACCCAGCTCGTGGGGCAGCTCGTGGCAGAGCACGGCCAGCGCCGTGCTGAGGCCGCTGGAGAGGCTGTGGGAGAAGGCGGCACCTGCGGGAAGAGGGTCCTTCGCCCCGGACCTGCACGGACCCCGTGCCCCGCTGCACCGTGCACCCCTGTCCCTGCGCACCCCCGTCCCTGAGCACCCCTGTCCCTCCGTCTCCGTCCCCCCGTGCCCCTCACCGATGGCCAGCCCATCCGTCAGGTTGTGGATCCCGTCCCCCAGCACCACCATCCAGACGACGTCAGCGGCCCTGGGGCTGGGGGGCAGCGTGGGGCCGTGGGAGTGTCCGTGGGAGGAGTGTCCGTGGGGGCGTCCGTGGGGCTTCAGCTCCAGCTCCGGCTCGGGCTCTTACCTCCTCGCGACGGTGCCGGCACCCCTGCGGCCACGTCGGGGGTCTCTCTGGGGGGGCGTCCCTGGGGAAGACAGGCGGTGGGCGCGAAGCGGGCCCTAGTGCCAGCCCCCCCCCCTGCCCGGTCCCCGCGGCTCTCACCGTGGCCTCCCGGCTCCGCCGCAGCATCCCCAGGAGCAGCTCCACCAGGAAGAGCAGGTAGATGCCCCCCAGCACCGCCAGCCCCTGCAGCACCGCGGCCCCCGGCTCCGCCAGCGTCTCCTGGTGCCTCCCCTGGGCCTGGACACGGGTGACCCGGTGGCTTGGGGGACCCGGACACCCTGGTCCCCCCCAGCTGCCTTGTGCCACCTGCGGGCCGCCGGGGCGGGGGTACCTACGTGGGGCCAGAGGTGCAGCAGGGCGTCCCCGCAGAGCGTCCCCACGGCCAGCGCCACCAGGAAGGCCAGCAGCGAGCGGAAGAAGCTGCGGCTCAGCAGCGGGACGAGGACGACGGCCAGGGCGGAGGGCAGGCTGACGAAGGCGACGGCCAGGAGCCCCCAGCCCAGCGCTGCAGGGCGGGTGAGACGGGCACAGCCGGGGCAGGAGGGTGCAGGACCCGGGGATGGGGATGCAGGATGGGGACCCTGGGACTGCGGGGTGATGGGAACCTGGGGATGGGGGCACGGGGGGGGGACTCGGGGATGCAGGAATGGTCAATGCAGGGATGGGGTGGCAGGGACTGGGGACATGGGGACCAGGCGCTGGAGGGATCCAGGGACAGCGATGAAGGGACAGGGGACCTGGAGCGCTGATGAGGGAGGAGCCAGGGATGAGGACGCAGGGGCAGGGTCCAGCTGGTGGGGGACCGGGGGCTCAGGGTGCAGGGAGAGCGGCCACGGGACCAGAGGCTGGGGGAGCCAGGGATGGGGCTACGGAGACGGGGACGCGGGGACCAGGCGCCGGTGTACCTAGGGATGGGGATGGAGCACTGTGAGACCTGGGGACCGGCTGATGGGGACACGGGGCTGCAGGGACAGGACCCAGGGACGGCTGACCTGGGGCTGGGGGCCAGGGAGGGGCCCTGGGGTGGGGTTACCTGGCCACAGGGCCCCCCCCGGGGGAGGCAGCGTCACCTCATCGCTGTGCTGGATGCAGACGCGGCTGTCGATCTGGTAGAGCAGGGCCGGGCAGAGGAGGGTGAACTGCTCCGGCGTCAGCTGCGACACCGAGTCCAGCCCAAAATTCACCAGCAGCTGGGTGACGTTGAGGCACTGCGGGGGGTGGCGGTGAGCGGCGCTGGGGGGCCGGGGCTCCCGGGTCCCGCTGGGGGATGAGGAGCAGCTGGGCCTCCCCGGGGGCTCCCGGCGCGCGGCAGCGGCGCAGGACGGCACGACCCCCCCGGCCCTGCTCACGTCGTCGTGCGGGTGGGCGGCGCCGGAGTGCTCCAAGCCCAGCACCCTCCCCAGCAGGCTC